ATAATAAAAACAAATTTCAACTCAGCTGTGAGTATTACTAATCTATTTCTATCTTTGCATCCTTAAAGTTTTTTCCAAGTTAAACAAATTCAAAAAAAGGCTGTTCGCCAATTTTTTTTTCTGGTTATTACTCACTCCTTCGATCAGTTTCGTATTCGTTACTACTAAACGTAAATATTTGATCAGCAACATCTTTCATCATTTCTATTTGTTTTCGTTTTCTTTTCAGCTTAATTTGATTCATTTTGTCGAAAGCTACCGCTTTAAAAATCTCGCCCATTCCTTCATATCAGCTTCTCATGAACTTAGGTGGAAAATTGCACATAAAATGCAAAAGTAACAGGTACTTAAGGTTAAGCTGCCATGAATGGTTTCAACAAATTTCACATTTTCCATTGCTATTGAAAATATACCAAATTTGTTTCTTATGTGAAATTTTATAGACAGCTTGACCAAAAACTACATAAACTGTTAGAGCTCAGCTATCTACTAAAATACGTACTTTTAAAACTTTACAAAACTTGACTAAACTATTGAGATGTAAAATGTTCTTTTTCTGCTTTTTTGCTATTTCCTAAAGGACATACTAGAACAAAATATATTATTAAGTTTAACCCAATATAGAAATTTAATATCTAATTTGTAGGTTCTTACACATTGTCATACATAAGTCGATATGATAAAAAACTATACTATTAACATTGGCGTAAATTTTGAATAAAAGCAACATCAAAATTCAACTGATTTTTTGAACTGCGTGTTGATGAAGTGACAATTGAGAAATAGTTAAGTACTTACCGAAAAAGTAGGATATTCCTAATGTAATTATGGCTCCTAGTGGCTCACAGTATACACTTCCAAAGGCAAAAGGTGTGGCAATAAGTTGACTAGCTGCTAAAATGATTACTCGGGATCTGATTCCCATTTTTGCTACAAATTTGTCGGAAATCACACCCCCAACTACAACACCAATACTTCCTACGACTATTGTGACTGCAAACAACCACCAACCTGCGAAAAAGATGTTTTCGTATAATTTCAAAATTAAAGATAAAAGCAATTTGTTAACTAATTAGTTAATCTGCGAATTACATGCTAGTTCAGCTAGAAATTAACGTTGCCAATAAAGGCAGGATCGACTCAATGGAGAAATACAAGGCAATGGAGGGAAGCAGCAGGCATTTTTTTGGCATAAATTTGCTAGATTTAAATTGTTTCCAAATCTTTGTGCTTTTCACCTTTGTAAGAAACATATTTGCGTACAATTTTTATTGCAGTTGAGACAAATTTGCGGCTCTTGTTTTAGTCCTTTGAACATTTAAATTCTGCTTCTAATAGAGACGACGAATACACTATACCAAGCTCGGTTAAATTGCGTTTCTCTATTAAATTTGTGCTTAAGAGCCTGCTTTGTTAAATAGAGCTCTGTTCCGCTCAATTCATTTAATGAAACTACTCACTTAAACGGTTATTTGCTCACGTTCTAATTCAAAGAGTTTGCACCATTTAACTAAATACATTTTATTGACTTGCTCCTGCTAGTGGAATTGTGAAAATGGGCCATGATTTACAGCATACTTACCTAAATCATAATCAGGAAAATATATTTGATAATACAAGTCGCAATTGTACGCAAAACACATTCCACCACAATGTCTAATAGATGCGGCCAGACATAACATTATAACTCGAGGTTCGCTCATCACAGTCCTTAAAAATTGTACAATAAAAATTACAAACACTACATTTTTTATCAAATAAATCTGCGAAAGCTTTTAATTCAAATAAGTACGATAAAAATTTGTCAAAAAAATCAGAGTTGCTGAAAAGAGTTACTAAAACGCTACTCGATTTCAGCGATTTCAGACTTACCAAATGGTAACTTTTTTTGCATCTGGATTAGCTTGGGCAGCAGCGTCTTCACCAATCGATTGTCTCTCTGGTTCTTTCAGAGTAAAAATAGTCAGAAATGCAAATATTAAAGCCACTATGCCTGCTCCATAATAACACACCCTCCAACCCAAACCCCAAGCGTTCAATGGAGGGATATATCTTCCCACTGGAAATGCAATACCTAAAACAGAGAAACACGAAATTTAATATTTTGTAGAATTATCTTATTTTAGTATGATATTAATTGGTTCGTGTCAATTAATTAAACATGATTTTTATTTCAGTTGTGTTACAATTACATTTTTTGTGTTACAATTAAATCGTTAATATTTAATATCACTTGGATTTTAATCAATTTTCCTTTTATTATATTGGTTTACTTCAATTAATTCATTCCAGTTTTCTGGATTTATTCACTTTGTTGAAATATTTAATTTGGGAGAATTTCGCATTTTCATTACGCCTTTAGTGAACAGATTAGTGCCATTTAAAGTTATGTTTTTGTGTATTATTATATTAATACAATACTGAAACTTAGACGGAAAGTTTAAAACTGTCGGATAACGACTGAATGTTAAAATTTCCATCTCTCGGTTGCAAGAAAATATAGCCTGCGCTAGTATTCGAGTTAGACACTCATTGTAGTAAGTAAAGTAATCGACATTTACATTAAGAATAGCGACTAATCTTATTTCTAATATTAAAAATAGTTTTAGGTGAAACCTGCCACACAGAGTTTAAAAAACCGATGTCAAGTTTCTTATATAAAAGAAACAAAAGAGATGGAGTAGGTGTGTACACACTAGGTAAAATTAAATGAAACTGGCTCGGTCTATATAATCCAAAGATTTTTTTATACCCCTAAATTTAACTTAAGCCCAAGCGCTTTGGACAATCACCTGTACAATGACCGTTCATTTGACTGTGTGGGTGACTAGTTCAAACATTAACGTTCTTATTATATTTATTTTAGTCTCTTAAAAATGATACGAGTCTTTTTTACAATTTCAATATTTGACTTGTAATTTTCGACTCATTGTTACTGGTTTTTGGCATGTTTAGCACTTGACCATTAAATTCGAGGTTTTGAATTATATATAATTTTAATACCAAACTGGTTTCATTACTTTTCTTATAATAAGGTTTACTTTACAAACAGTTGTTTACACCCTTATTATTATAATGGATCAAGTGCAAATAGAGTGAATAGTATGATCACGAATATACGGCGTCTTCAGTTTTGTGTAGCAGCGAATTAGGTAGGAATTTTTTGTGGTTTGCAGCAACTTGCATTTACGACTTATTCGCAATTTTATTTGAGGAAAAAATATTTTAAACGTTTTAAAAAGTGTCGACACGAAATCTACACTTTTTATATTAGGCATGCAAAAAGTTTTAGTGCCTCCTAACTCATTATTAAGAATTACGGTTATTAAGTTACTAACAAGTTTTGAACCACGCCACATTTTCATAAGTTTACACTCCAACTTTTTCTATTTTAAGTACATTTGAGTATTTGGATGCATAACCTACATATTTTAAGTTTATTGAAATTCCTTTTGGTATGAAACCGTTTGAAGGGTAGGTAGACGCTCTAAAATTGTAAGACTTCATAAAAATGGTAATTTCATTACAGTAAGTTTAAGCTTAACATTTGGCTGCATTCAAAGAATTTGAATTTAAAACCATCAAACTTGTGTGTTCTAGACGAATTTAGTAACTTTTCGTTTAAAAAAAATGTAAAAACTACCTACTAAATTTTTCTTTTGAGTCAGGACAGTTTTTTTGTTTCGAAAGTATAGAAGTTTTAATGTTCCGCTAAAAACTTTAGAGTTGGTCCCAATAATGACCGCATTTATGCATCATGCATCTCATGTTATCAAATCACTTTAACGATTGATTTATGTTGGAAACCTTGTTGGAATGTTTTAAATTAAACTTTATTTTGGCATTCAAAAGTTGTAATCTGGTATCTGTTGCTATGAAAAATTCATAATTCAAAGTACCAAATCATATAATTAGTAATATTTTTTTGAAAAGTTACCATTAAATTTGTTTACAATTCTAGGATCGTCCGAATTTAAAATTTATTTAAAACGTTTTGAACTTTCATTGGCTAAAAATAGTACATTTGAATCAGTAACTAAACGCAGATAGCACAACTAACGGTTCCCAGCAGTAAATAAAAACTAAGGAAAATACAACTGCGTTTTTTAACCAGGAAATAATGCGTTTTCCATGCGACATATTTATCATATTATATTTCTGCGTTAGTTTTCTTCCGTGTTCCGTATTTTTTGCACTAAATGCAATGTAACAGCATCGTTTAATCGACACAATTTAATTAAATTAGAAGCGTAACGAGTGCTAGTAAAAAATAGTCTATGGAATTTTGCTAGTTTAATTAAGTAGATTTTTCGTCGAGCTTATTTTTGACTAATAATGATTCTTGCGTTTGATTTAGAAATATATGCAAGAGGCAAAGAGTGTTTAAATCGGACGGGTCATTCAATACTTTTTTAGATACCCTTAGTGGGGCACATAACTGTAGACCATTGAGTAAGGAAAAAGTCAGTGGGTTAAAGAAAAAAATAGTTTTCCTTTATGAGTAGAATCAAAAATACCCTGTACACAACATGGGAATACTTTCAAAAATGTTGTGAAAAATTCAATACCGACAAATATCCGATCCTACTTTACTGCTCAATAATAAATCAATGCAAGACTGTTATTCTTCTTCAACTTAGCAGCGGTTTGATATTGTAAAGCAAATATCCTTTATTCTCACTCGCAACTATTTTCCTGCTAGATTACTCACCGTATCCTCCATATATTCCCCAATTGAAAATTGACATCACTAGTGCTCTTTTTTCTTCTGGAAAAATATCAGATAGAATGCCAGTACTTAGAGGATTACAAGCTGACTCGCCAGCGGCCATAACCATGCGAAGTAGTACCAAGTGCCAATATTCCGTTACRGAACCACTGACTATAATGGCTATCGAAAATACTACACTAGCAATTCCCAACATTTTTACCCTGTAATAAAAATAATGATTGATTACATATTAAAAATGTTGTTTCACTGCCTAAACGAGTCAAAAATATATTAAAAGAAAATATTAATAAAGGAATAGTCTTCAATTGAACAAAAAAGTGGAGCATTCAAGGTTTGAACATAAATTTTACATTAAAAAAGAAAAGCGCGTTATTTATGGCATATTGACAAACGACGATTTTCTGAGTAAGTAKTARCGCRAGTATTAATAGCTCRAATGRGTATTATTTAGKTAAAACTACTTCAGACTCAGATGTAGACAAAACGTGTTTGTCTGTCGTTTTTGMTTTATTYCTGTAATTTGCAATATTAYATTATATTTRMTTATAATTTAAATACAATTTCCACAAATGGTCTCATCGCAKAAATTRACAGAGTGAACTTATTTACTAAATTTTATRTTTTTATTATTGTTTGTTGGTAATATTRAAAGAGATCAAAAGTACACAATGAGTAGGACATTCAATTCTTGCATCCATATAGCGTAAGCTGTAACGAGACCAATTCTAAAAACAACCTAGTAAATATTTTCGTGCTCTGATTAAACATCCTCTGWTTAAAGTGTGCATCTACAACTTTTAACACGCWCGTAATAAAGAAACAAATAAAAATACWTTTAAAGTTTGSCTAYTTGRAAGCGTTCGATGACTTTAAAGCAAATTATAAWCAAATTASTTTWTTTTAATCTGATATAGCGCAAACTGTGCTGATGACGTTCTYAATARGAGAAGGAACTACATTTTTTCTATAATGAACGSAAATGCCTATAATTATACACTASTARCTAGGATCGACATAAGAAYTTCCATAAAAATAAAAATAAATTAWCAATKTATTCGATATATTTTATATCAATCCCTGAAAATGTCATGTGGTAATCTGCAATTTAATTAGCATGATAAAATATGTTAATTGCCCAGGGTTTTTAATAGATTTAAAAGCAGCGAACAATTACTTTCTGCTTGAGTGAGCTCATATGATTGACTATAAATCATTTTATTACATTTAACTACTGCAGGCAATTATTGTTTTTAAACTTTTGCCTGATTCTTGATCACGAAACGCTCAACGATTGTTGTGGAAAATACATAATAAAAGGTTATTACCTTTGCGGAGTGCATGTGCAAGATATATTGTAGATAATTTCCATGTTTCTCAGTTGTATAAAACGAATAAAGTATTTATTGATTAATATTAAATTTTTGCTTTTTGGTAGTTTTGAATAATGGTGTTACGAAGAAACGTGCCATCAGAATTTGTTTTTGCGTTTTACTTTCCAAGTTGACTAACACCGATTTTCTCAACTTATTAACATGTATAATGATGACTTATTTTTGACCAGCATCCATTATTTTTAAAAGCCAAGTCCATCTCAGGCATTGAAAGCCACAGACTTTCAAAAAAGTTTTTTTTATCATATAGCTTGATGGTAAAATGATTGAAATTTTTGTGAAAAATTAAAACAAATATTTTTGATCAAACAGCAGATTTTTCGAAAATGATTAAGATTGTTTTTATATTTGATGGTAAAAATTTTGAAATCGGTCAAGCCGTTTCGGAGTTACAGGTTTTCATATCTGTCCAATGAAGGAAGACTCTGGAAAGGTTGAAAACGGTTCAATTCCGTAGTTCCTGTTTTTTGTTTGATTTTAGAGTTTTTATTCATCCATCACCAAACTTTTTCGAAATTTACTCTCCCAGTTTTGTTATTTCAATTATTATAAAATATAGTACTGTGAAATCTAGTTAAAAAAATATGAATATGATTTCAAAAGAAAATATTATTGATTGCTAATTGGCACCAAACCTTGGGTGCAAAAATGGCTAACTAATTCTTTGTTTCAAGACACTTAAGTGGCTCTCTTACATGATTCAAGCATTGTCAAGGTTTCTATATATGTATTGCCAACCTTCGACCATTTAGCTAATTATGTAAATATGAGACGCTGCACTAAGAACAAGAGATCAATTCACTTCCCACTAACCATTTACATTCGAATTATCTGCTTTTACCTGTTAAACTTGTCAGCTAAATAACCCATTATGACTCCGACAACGGTAAACACCGCTATAAAGCTGGGTCCTGCTAATATTTGGTAATCCAATCCGAGACCGTTGTAAGTCCATTCGCAATATGGCTCATCATCAATAGACAATGATAAACACGTGTCTGAGTTGTTTGCATCTGAGCAAACAACTGGAAGATCGCTTAGATATAACTCTGTGTTGTTTAGTTGGCAAGTGATATCACCTGAAAATTATAAATGAAACGAAAATACCAGTTTAATAACATTTTTCATTCGTGTATAAGGAAATTTTAAAGAAACATCAAATATGAACATATGATACTAAAAATTAGTAACAGTCTCAATACATGTTGTCTATATACTTTCAAATCAATACTCAGCTTTAAACAACATTTACATAAACCCGCCACTTACCATAATGCAGGTCCATAGCTATTGCTTTGCTAGTTACTCCAATCATATAATGTCCCAGTTCTCCTAAGACATATCCAATGGACACGATGGCTAACACGTAGGTTGGATAAAGAAATGCAATTTTCTGCCGAATTTCTAACATCATTTTTTTGATCTGAAACAAAAACTGAGTTTGCATTACGTATTTATTATACGTTATTTATACGTTAAGAAACTAGGGGTTGTTGCAGAGTTACCCAATAAAAGTAGGGTATACAAAAGCTTATGTGCTTCTTAAGATGCATTTTTGAAGATAATCGTGACAAACTTTAGAAACTGTTCAAGGAGTTTTAATTAAATGTTTGAGAACTCCACTTCTCCTTCTTCTTCTTCTTCTTATATTAGGCCTTGAGCCTGTTTTTTCCGATATATTTTCTTTATTGCTGCAGTCGTATTTGTAACATAGACTGCCACCTATCTCGCCATCTTTAAAAGTTCAGTCCTGGTGGTCTGGTGCTCGTTGCTTTTAAATCCCTTTTAGCCGTCCATTCGTGTAACATGCCGGTTCCACTCTTGTTTTGCCCATTATACGACAACAAAATTCAAACAAAACTTCCTGTGTCCCTTAATGTTTTCATTTCTGTTGTTCTGAGAATTATTTTCATTTCTGCTGTTTCAGCTTTCTATTGAATATGTTAGTATTGGACTTACACATGACTTATATATACGTATTTCCCCATACAGCCTCATATCTTTATTTCTCCATATAGCATTCCTTAAACATCTTGATACATAAGCTGATTTATTACTCTGCTTTCGTATACATTCTTTTAGGTTTCCGTAGCTGGATATTTCTTTATCCAGACATTCGAACTTAGAAACTTGTTCGATTATTTCTTCGTTAATTACGATTTTGCATCGTCTGGGTTCCCTTGTTACTACGGGCGATTTTGTATTAGATGTTGATGTCTGCTTATTTTAGGTTTCTGTCGTGAATTTAGAGGTATGCCTTAGAGGAGCGCTGTAGATTATATTCATTATCCGAGATTAAAATTGCGTCGTCCTCATAACAAATAGTTTTTAGCTGTTTTCTTCTAAGCTCATTTTCGCGTCCTACCTTTTCTGCTTTTTCTATAATTTTGTCCGTTGATTAATTGAATAATAGTGGCCTTAGGGTATCTCTCTGACGTATTCCAGATTTAATGTCTACTTCCGATGTTAATTCATCCTTGACTTTAATTTTAGTTTTGTTGCCTGTGTTCATGTCTCTTATTACCTCTACTGAACTGCCGGGCCAGTTTTCTTCTTCATGTAATTTTAGCAGATCTCCTAATCTAACGCAATTAAAGGCTTTAGTCAGGTATACGAAGCAAGAAGGATTATTATATTTAATTGCTTTCTCAACAACTTGTCTGAAAATTGCATCTATTGTTGACCTATTTTGCCGGAAGCCTTGTTGTTCTTCACTTATTGTATATTATTTAGTGATATTATTGGCGACTATCTTCGTGAGCAATGTTAGAGTTGTGTTAAGCAAGGTGATCGTTCGGTAGTTGCTAGGATTCTTCTTAATTCCCTTTTTATATATTGGTATTGTAAGGCTTGTTTTGAATTGGTTTGGTACTCGCTTGGTATCTAAAATTTTCTGAAAAACTGCAGCAATATTTTCAATTATTATTTCCCCTGCATATTTTAGGAGCTCATTGGGTATGTCATCAGGTTCTGGGGCTTTTCTGTTTTTTCATTTTCTTGTATTCCTGAGTTCTTCGTTTATAATGTCTATGATTTGTTATCTGTCGCCTTCTTCTTCTTTCTCTCCTTCTTGCCCGTCTATTGCATATTCATTATTCCTCTCATTCTAGAGTTCTTTGATGTAAACTGTCCATTGTTCTGCTTTTATTTTATTGAAGTTGTTATATTCACTAATAGGTTGTTTTCTTCCTTTAAACATTTTCCACACTTTGCTTCCATAAAGGCCGTGTTCCATCTCTTTGGTAAATCGTCTCCAATATTCGTTTTCAGGTTTCTTAACTTAGATTTTACGTGRTTTTTTGTATCYTTCTTGCTCATAATTGTTAGGCGTCTTACTGCTGCAATATTGTGGATAAGCTATTCTTTTTTCGTACGCTAAATCTCTTATTTCGTTAGTAAACGATGGCTTTGATACTTCGGCTGCATTTAAGTTAATTTTCCTAACTCCTATACTTTCTTTTGCAGCCCCTAATATGTTCGATTCTATTTTTGTCCAGAGTTCGTATTMATTTTCCTCTTTTTTTCATGGATTTCTTGAATTTWTCTTCTACTAGTTCTTTGTAAAGYCACTTYGTAGTTTAGTTCTCTAAAGAGTTTAACTTTTTSGCATATTTGGGGGTCTTCTTCTTGTTTGATGGGATCTTGATTAAAATTTTGCCYAGCACTAATTGATGATCTGTCTCTATATTGGGCTATGTCGCGGMTCTTACGTCCAGAATTKGTTTCGGTACAACTTCTCTGTTGATTATTATGTAATTTATTGTTGAATGCTGACCCTGTGTGATTTGTCATGTGTACTTTTGTTGAGGTTTATTATTTCTTCATTGAATCGTTGTTTGATATTCTCTATGTTATTATTTCCCACTCTCGCATTAAAGTCTCCAAGTATTACGAGTTTTTCGTTCCTCTGTATCTTGTTCAGCTTATCTTGCTATACTGCTTGTTTTTGTTCTCTCTCTTGTTCTTCATATACTGCTACAATAGGAAGTTTACTGCTTGCCAGGTTTAAGGTTGTCTTGCGGGTTCTGTGGCTGGTGTATTCGATATCATCTATGTTCTTTTCAAATTTCTGATGGAGCAAAAGAGCAGTTTTTCTTTTAATTCAGCATGACTACTTTACGGGTCAGAACATGTTAATGGATCCAGGACCTAACGGCCACGTGGTGATTATGTTCTATCGTTATTGCTACTACAATATCCCCTAAAGTAATTTTTTTTTGAAGCATTGGAAAATCAGAGGTAAAAACTACATTTATGATGATCAGCGGCAGTAATGACAAATAAATTGATGTACAAATAAGAATGGATACATCTTATACAAAATAATACGTCTCATGTAATATACCAGGTGTCAATTTGAAAACTTTCCACTCTGAATATCTTTCGTGCAGTTGAAAATATAAAAAATCGGAGAGACCCGTCGATTGTATTTGTAAAGGGGATACTCTAAGTTAATATTTTTAGCCTCCTTGTTTCAACCCCCTAGGACGGGTAGATGTCACCCTTAGAATCTTAAATGCGAAGAGGAGTGAAGTGGTACATCGTTTTAAAGGCCGTTCAATCCTCTTTACATTAATTATTACTTTATTGCTTTTTGTGCAGAGGTTTTCGAATAATCGTGTTTCAAAATTACAGAAACAATTAAACTTGCCTGCATTGAGATTTCGGTTTTCAGATTAATGTTTAAACTACAATTATGTCATTGGGTCTCCTTATAGTACAAATGATTAGAATATTCGGTTACACCGTTAAAATCGTTGAATAACAGTTAGAAAATTTAGTTTAAACTATTGATTTCGGATTTAGTGAGTTCTTTGAAGAGTTTTGTTGAGAAATATCACTCTTTATTTACGGAAAAGAAATTTCTACAATAAAACCCATGGTACCTA